GTGATGCGCATCTTCTCCTTGCCGCCGGTTTTGACGCCAACCTCCTTGTCGCCGGTGCGCTGCGGGATTCCATAGAGCAGCGGAAAGGGACGTCTACGTCGGATATGCAGAAACGATTTTTCATGTCAAGCTTGAAAGTGAGAGCAGCGGTTGTAAAAAAATATAACCGAAATCAGCGGAGGACAGGACGCCCAAGAAAAGACGGAAACTACGCATGTACACATATATCGTACACTCAAACTAGGTACGTACATGTATGGAGGTCAAGATAGGGATCGCTATATCGAACGAAGCATGAGGGAAAACTAGGGCCAAAAAGAAACAACCAGGCACTCACGTTCACAGTGTTGTTCCCGGGTTCTCCATCCACGTAGGAGTCTCATCCATGTTGGCGATCTGCGCCAAGGCGAACTTGGGACTCGGCCCCGACGGAACTCCAGCGCCACTCCCACCCCCGCTGCCGCTCGCGCTGCCTCCCGCCACTGCCCCCAGGCATTCGACTCCGTCCGCAAGCTCGAGCGCGGAAGGGACGTCGTACTTCAGCCTCCTCCACCCCTTGATTGCCTGCATGGCGATCACGGGCCAGCCGGTAGGAAGTTTCTGGCCTTGCCGGGTGACGGCTCGCACAGAAAAGCGGTAGACCCTGACAAACCTTCTACACCACGCGGTCTTCTTGCGGGTGTACCGCAGGTTGCCCTCGATGTCGGACGGCGGCCTCTCCCCGAAGAAGTTCGGGTTGAGTTCCGTGGCCTTGTTCTTGATCATTCTCGTCGAGACACGGGCGGAGATGCCGTCAGAACGCAGATCATTGATCCAGTCCACGACCTCGCGTTCGGCGTCCGTGTGCGTTCTAGTCCGTCCGACGTTCAGCGACATGCGGTGCTTGGCTTTCGTCCTGCCCTTCACTCGCGAGTACTTGGGCTCCTCCGCAAGCGCGGCTTCGAACTTGTCGACGTCTTTGACCCACGCCGCCAACGTGGCCTTGTCGGGAATCTTGAGGATCCTGCTGGCGTATGTTACGCCAACAGTCCCGCCCGGTCCTTGCGCCCCCTTGAGCTTTCTCTGCGAGTACCTCACAGCATTCACCTTGAACTGCGAGGTGTAGCGCTTCCTTTGGGTTCCACCACCATGGTCGGGAATCGGGAAGTCCGGCGGCTCCAGCTCCAGCCGCCCTTTCTTCCTCTTGCCCTTGTTCTGTGCCGGCGTACCGACGAGAACGCCGCTGAGCCCATCTCCCCACTCTGTCTCTCCGGGAAACATCATGTTGCCGGATTTGCCATCGTTGGCCGCAGAAGCTCCTGACGCTGGTGCTGGTGTGGGTGTTGCTACTGGCGCTGCTGGTGTTGCTGCTGCCGCCGCTCGTGCGCTTCCTGATACTGGAGCTGGTGCCGGTGCTGGAGCTGGCGCCGATGCTGGAGCTGGCGCCGATGCTGGAGCTGGCGCCGATGCTGGAGCTGGCGCCGGTGCTGCTCCTGATGGCGGCGCTCCGGGCGTGGAGCCCGCCCTACAAAAGACAAGAGTAGACATCATGTGCGGGATGGAACAAAGCGGTCAATGTTTGAACGCACGAAAACATGTGTCGTGTGGGTAGAAACCAAAGATTCCTTTCATAAAGTGCTGGCTGACTTTTATAGTCGAAAGGGCACCGTTTCCAATTCTCCAAATGCCGTTTGCGGTGAAAGTACCGAGAGGGTGAACAAAAAATCGCAAAACAGGCACGGATGCACCGTCTAGGTACCGGTAAATCAGCGGCAACAATGCTGCGAGAATTACAATTGCTATAATTTTACCATTCGTGGGTGAATTGAACATATGTGCAAAGCAGAGTACAACAACTGGAAAATTCGTCAGGTATGCCAGCTGCAAACAAAGCTGCGGTATTTCCGCAACACAAATCGCCATGAAGGAACAAAAATCATATATGCCTAGGTACACACACACAGCAGCAGCAGCGGTATACTGATGGACTGACGTGGAATCGCTTTGCACTGGAGCCTCCAGTCGCATCGGCAATGAATGGTGTCATGAACCAAGATTTGGCACCACCATCACCCATACCTGGACCTGCGCCACGATGCCCAACGGAAGTACGGTATTCATGTCCCCTCTGCATCAGCGAAGGATCAACGAACCTGACGGCGAGGAATCTGGCTACACACCAAAAACGTCAGCATAAAGGTCGAGGAAAAGGTCAGCCGGTTAGCGCGGTCGATGCTAATAGTAAAAACACACACACACCATGTCCCTTGGCCAATTCGTGTGAGATCACCACTTCCACCACGCACGCTCAGTAGCGTGGTGGAAGGT